AATTACAATTTTACTATCAAAATATTTTCTTTATTTTTTCCTTTCATATATGGACAAAATATCTGAGAAATCATAACTAAAATGCTCCTCACAATTTCATGTTGTCAAAAGGGTCAACCACATAGACCTTACATTTCAAGCTGCAATAACAACTGTTTATAGAGTTAAAAAATAAGAATAACTTTTTATCTGCTGCCTTCTGATTTTGAAGCCCGCTGAAAGAAAACTCTAATTGTTGTATTTACATGCTGACATTTAACCTGGAAAAGTAACACATGTGGCCATCTGGCACCCTGTTGATCATTCCCACAGCTCTTCCACCTCTTGCGGAAATCACCAGGAGCCCTGTGTACACAAAAAATACAGGCTGGGGCCCTGATGTTTGAATGAGGAATGCTTGAAATTGTCACTCAAATGTCATGATTTACTCTTACGTGATCACGACATTGTTGCAAAAGTCCCATGATGGTAATATAGATGTGCATTATCTTTATTTGCTATTCAATTCTTTTTGAGTCTAGCACACAATAAAGGCATTTTTAAGGAAAGACAGAATTTTCCTTTTAAACAACTGTTTTCTTGTTCAACTAATTACAAACTGCTGAGAGCTGAAGCTTTAAGATTCTTCCAAAAAGTTTAAAACCAACATAAAAATCGTAAGAGTTGGCAATGGCAAATACTCTGAAATGAAGGCTTCACCAAAGCCTCTTTTAATACTGAAAGAATTTTGTCTGTTCTCACATACTGTAACAAATCTTGCCCCTCAGTCTGGGTTCAAATTTTTTCACTAGAGGCTGAGTACATGAACACTAGGAAGGCGTGCGTGTCATTGCAAAGAGCCAATTGTCACATCAAGGAAGTATTCTGAACCAGGTGTTGAAAGCTTTGTTCCATGCTGAATACTTTTAGAAAAGAAGGAAAGACTATCATGGTGGTGTCGGGTTGATCATAGAATCATAGAATCATAGAATTGTTTAAGTTGGAAAAGACCTCTAAGATCATCAGTCCAACCATTAACCCAACACCACCATGCCCGCTAAACCATGTCCCAAAGTGCCACGTCTACCCGTTTTTTGAACACTTCCAGGGATGGTGACTCAACCCCCTTTGTGGGCAGCCTGTCCAATGCCTGACTACCCTTTCCATGAAGAAATTTTTCCTAATATCCAATCTAAACCTCCCCTGACACAGCTTGAGCCCATTTCCTCTCGTCCTATCACTTGTTCCTTGATGGTTGGACTGATGATCTTACAGGTCCTTTCCAACCTTAATGATTCCTAGTTTTTACTTTCATTAAAAAAATAATCCAGCCACCAAGCCAGGAAACATGAAGTTATTTCTCTACCCTTAACTGGTTTAGTGGTGGACTTGGTAATGTTAGGTTAATGGTTGGACTGGATGATCTTAAAGGTCTTTTCCAACCTAAACAATTCTATGATTCTATTCTATGATCATTTCTGGTAAAATACAAAACTTTGGTTAAAAATGATGGTCAAAGTCTTGCTAATTACATTGTCATGGCTTACATAGTAAGGGGTCCATCTAAACACATACACTTGAAAGAAAAATTGTATTTCTTGAACTGATGAAAGCGGGTCACAACTCAAATTCAGGGGATTTCCCCCACCCCCACCCCCGCCAAAAGTTTATGAGACTACCAAAAAAAAAAAAAACCAAAAAACCCCACAAACCCCCAACCCAGGCTGTGCTAAAAATGGGCACTGCTGTGGCTATGAGAGTTGTAGATGTAGCTTTGAGCAGGAATAAGGTGATGTGTTACCCTGGTATTCAGTTTTAGAAGGCTCCTTACTACAATATTGATTCCAGTTTTTGTGTCTACATTTTAGAAAGGATGTTGGAAAATTGGAAAGTGTTCAGAAAAGAGTTACAAGAATGATTTCAGGTCTGGAAAACATCCTTTGTAGTGAATGACTAATGAAACTCCATCTACTTACTTTTTCCAAGGGAAGTTTTTCCACGACTTTGTCATAGCCTACAAGTTGCTACATGGGGAATAGTCTTCTGATAGATTAAATCTTGCAGAAAAGGACATTAAAAGACAGAAAGCTAAAGCAAAGCAAAAGCTATATGAGAAACAAGGCAGAAGTTAGTAACCCTGATGGCAATGAAATGCTGGTGTAATTTTCAAATGTGATGGAATCACCTTTACTTGGGGGCTTTTTTAACCATGCTAAATATCTAACTAACAGGGATGCTCTAGTTCAAGTAGGCTTATTGTCCAGAGGCAGACATTACTTAGTGAGGTTCACGGCCTATATTACAGAAGAGGCAAGACTATATAAATATAATAATAGCAAAATTGAAATATTGGAATTTATCTTATTAACCTCAATTAACCCTCTCCTTATAATTTCCTTTTTCAATGATCCCTGTGAAAAATGTCACAACAGTCAAGCTTCTGGAGTGCTGTGCTCGCAGCCTCTCATGCTGCAACCAGCTTTGTCTCATTATTTCCTTGGTACTGTGTCTCTAGCTGTTCTCTTGCACTTCAGACTCAGATCGCAAGTCTTCCTGGGCTGTAAACCAGCTTTCCCTTCTGTACAGCTTCTCATGCAACTATGCTCTGACCCATGGCTCCAGGAATTAGGGTTGGTGAGCACTATTGTAGGATATACAGATAAATAACCTTTTGAATGGTTATTTCAAATATATTGGCATGATTTCAAATATTATGGTATGATCACATGTGATGAACAGGAGTCCATTTACTCACTGAATTTTAAAATACAAGATCAATACAATTTAGGAAAAAAAGACCCCAACAACTTAAAAACACAAATGAATTTTTTTTTTTTTTTACTCTCAAGAGTAGAACTCTAATTTTGACTTATTTCTAAGAGCTGAGATTTATATTAGCTGACTGCATTTGGAGGCGGGAGAGGCACTCAGTTTTCTGGCACCCTGTCTACAGTGGTTGTGTAAGAGCATGATTAATTCATTAATAAAGCATAGCTTGACAATGGGTAGCACTGAAAATGTTACATATTAAGAGCACCAAGTGTTTGACG